AAGATAGTTATGTTAACATGCTACTTATTTTTGTCAATATGCAACATGTTTATGTCAGCCTGCGAGTTATATTTTTAGATGCAAGATATTTATGTCAACATGCAAGATATTTTGAAGTTGCATATCAATTTACATATCTTGCATGTTAATATAATTACCTTGCATGATGACATAATTATCATGCATGTCAACATTAATTATTAGCATGTATACATAATTAGCTTGCATGTTGACATTAATAAGTCGCATGTCTACTTAATTATATTGCATCTTGCATCTAAGATGTAAGATAAAGGCGTTAGTACATGTAAGTAAATTTACCCATATGAAATTATATTTTCGTATAAGATTGATAACTTGCATGTCAACAGAATTACAGTAACCATTTACACAACCTTTAACAGAAAGCAAAAAGTGCACCCCTTTTTTTTTTACGTTGACATATACTTCTTTTTATTTATGTCTCTCATCTTAAATAATATGGCAACCGATACATTTTTGCAAAAATTGTTTAATTTAAACTATATTAAACCCCAAATTAAGTAGCGGTTTTTGAGAGCGATAAAAATTTCGGTATTTCATTACAGAGCTGTCAATCAGGATTATAGATTAACCAATCAGAGCGTCAACCAATCATAATGGCATATTGATCTGTGGGTTGGGATAAAAGATTGAACATGTTGATTTAATTCGTTTTAATCCAATCATTGTACATACAAGCAAAACGTGTAAATGTACAGTGTAAATCTATTATGATAATTAAAAAAAATATTATTTTTATTTATTTCTTTCAATTCTCTGGGTTGTATTTTATATTCATTTTACATGAATATACATCTGTCAATGTGTAATTAACGAAATCAATTACTTGATCGGTATTACAAGTTTTACTGACAAAAAAATCAAAGATTTAAGAAAAATAGTTGGTCTTTGACAATTATTGTGAAATTTCATCATCTCAAGATATTAACAGTACGAGAATGTTTACATGCCCTTTATTTAATTATTTTAATTCTATTTTCTCAGTCTGCGTATTCCTTTTAATCGTTCAAAATTCACATATTATTTTAGATCTTCTTAAATTGGGCAAGAAAAAAATTACATGTATATTCACCAGGCTCCTGTTCCTGGTATATTCACCAGGCTTTATTAGTAAATTTCCAGTCTAATGAGATTTTACAGTTACGATCTCTCTCTCTCTTTCTCTCTCTTTCTTCTTGATATTCTCTCTCTCTCTCTCTCTCTCTCTCTCTCTCTCTCTCTCTCTCTCTCTCTCTATATATATATATATATATATATATATATATATATATATATAGACAGGAAATATCAAGAAGAGAGAGAGAGATATTATACTGTAAAATCTCATTAGATTTGATATATATATATACATATTTTGCGGACCCCGAGCGAACCCGGGAGGCGAACCCGGGGTCCGCTTCGGGTTCGCTGCGGTGTTAGGTTGTGTCCGGTCGGTATTGTAAGAGCCTTTCTCTGTAACCACGAACCTGAACAGATTAAGTTCTTAAAGGAAATAAAACTTTCGTGTTATTGATCTATTCATTTCCGATTTTGACTTCCTGAACTTGTTATCTTGTAATGATACACTTCCGTAAACTATCGTATTTGCATAAAATTTGTTGGAACCTGAAATTAACTCGAAAAGACCCTCACTATACTATTAACGTTAATATGAATAAAGATTGTTTTGGGAGGCAATGCATTTGAAGGCATGTAATAAATTTACAGTGTATTTAATACCATATAAATAGCACTCGTAACATGTACTATTTACATACTGACCCTACGACCTGAAGTGGTAAAGAAATAATATTAAATAGCTATTTCTATTGTCTTCTTTAAAGTTGTCAAGTGGACGATTTATTAGCTTTTTTACCAGTCCCGAGATCATTTCCATGTACACGTTTAGGGATTTTCTTGGTTACCTTCTGGACATCGATCTACAAAGGAAATTTGCAAAAGTCATCTGCAATGAAAATGTCTAACTTCAGTATTCTTGAAATTAGGGTGTTTTTTTTTACTAAGACTAAGACTAAGCATAAATATTGAGTGAAATGTATAACCAGCAACATTTTATGTTGTTACAAACAGAGGCAATTGGTATATCGAACCCCTTGCCCCCTTCCATTTTTCTGGAGTCGAACAATCTTTTTCCTGTTTTGTAATTCTAATATGTACTATATGTTATTTAAAGTGTAACCCCTTTATCTCTTTACGCTGATTTAAATATATATATATTATTATAACAGTAACTTGATCCGAAGGGTCGTACCACGTCGAGTTGACAGGTGCAGATCATCAGATCTAACGAGACGCGAAGCGTCGAGTTTGATCTGATGATCCGCGCCTGTCAACGAGACGTGATACGGCTCTTCGGATCAAGTTACTGTTATAATGATAAATTTATTATATACCCCCTTGTAACTGGCTCAATATATTAAAATAATCCTTTGGAGACCAATGGTATAATATTAATCCAATAAACACAGCATTAAAGCAAAGGACTTTTTAACGCGCAAGAAAAATAACGTCATGTTTCTGCGTACTACGTCATCAGTTTCAGAGAGTGGTGATATGGATTCAGAAAACTACAGTGTGGTGATCCGGAAAGTCGGATCACGGCGTCACGTGATTGCATGAATTCAACAGTAAAATTGAGTGATACACGTTAGGTATATAATAAATTGTTTTCGAGGACGCAAGTGAGTTAAGGCTACATATGGAGGTTTCTATGCAAAATATTTAATTTAATTCCGTAATTGCTCTACCTACCGCATGAAAAATGTTAAGACTTGTTTTCTAATACATTCGTGGTACCCGCGACATGCGATATCCAGTACACATTTTGACGTCATATAATGACGTCATCGACCTCTACTATATAAGAAACATCAACAAAATAACTTCGGTGCAAGGGCATACCTTACTTTGTTTTGCAGAAACAATGTATAAAAAAAACGCAGGATTTTCCAAGGATTTCAGATATTGCTGCACAAAGTTTAAACAGGGTAAAAATTCACAGTCTAGTGTAAGTTTCTTTAAATTTTTATCGATTGAGAATGTGCATAAGATTTGTGCAGCAATTTTATTAATTTTAAGAATATTCTCTTTAATATTATACATTGTTTATTTCAAATAAAATAGGATATGTCCTTACGCTGACGTGATTTTGTTGATGTGATTTATTACCTTGAAGTATAGCTAATACTGTTAAAACAGTCATACAATATTAATGTATATTTTTCCTGGATCCTCGCCTATATTAATCTTGGCATCGAACGCACATTAGTAGATAATTACAACACAAACAGTGATGAAAGCATTTCGTCCTCTTAATTGTCCATTGAAATTGATCTACATATATATTAAATATATATTTTGAGGGATCATAATGTAATCAGAGCTTCAAAACTCTGATACTTTTATCCAGGTCTTCTGTTTGTACGTATAATTTTTTTTCTATATATCAAATAATTAGTTCAAAATGTTACATAAACTCAAGTTCAAGTACAATTTATTCACTCAAACTAATTAAGGGTGCATAAGATTCTATGAACAGTATATACAAATAACAATGTTCAAGATAAATAGAATTGGAGGAAAATCTTTCAAATTAGGGAGTAACAAAAATAATTATAGAGGGAAAACCTTGTTCATATGATCCATTTATGTAATTGCAAACTTTAATTTATGCTTTGGAGACAGCAGTTGACAACAAATCTAGGGATTTGAAATACAATAGTGTTTTACAATATTTGATATTTTACTGTATTTTATACTTTGAAATGTTTAACAACACTATAAACCAGGTCACATGATCTGTAATGGATGGCTGTTAATAATTTAAGTCACATGGGAACATCACCCGGATAATAAATTTTATATAAATAGATATTTACATGAATCTTTAACTCACTTCCTGATAAGCCGGAGAAACTGAAAAGGTAAAGATAATACGTGTAGTTAATTTTTAATCAGCATTTATGTCTAGTGTTATGTACCTTCAAAAACTCAATTAACTTTTGTTTTTCAAGAAGAGATGTGTTAGTCTTAAGGACCTTCTCTACACATGTGCAATTTGTTTTGGACATTGAGGAAAATATATTGTAGAAAGAGGATAATATTGAGATTGAGCTTATGTATTTGATTTTAACTGTTTGGTGCATTTACCCACGGAAAAAATGTTCAAAGGCAATTGAATAGAAATCTCTGTTAATTACTCTAGTAAAGAAAATATATACATGCAAATAACACGTTCAGTTAATTTATCTTGACCTTTTAAAATGTAAAGAATTGAAAAATAAGTTAAAATTGAATAAAATATCTTTAAATTTCCATTTTTTAGAACATGGATTTAAGGCAGATTACTCTAACTGCAGAAGAATACCTAAGAATCAAAACTCTTTAGTGTGCAGTGTAGAGAAGTTTCTTATATGTATTGAAAAAGAAAAATGTGAAAAAAAAATCAATGATTTAATAAACTTTCTCTGTATCAGTACACTGTAGCATTTTTTCATATTTGTGTTATACTTGAGTATGTTGAACTCTTCTTTCAATGTTTGTCTGTCTGTCTTTGTTCACATGATAAGGTAATAGATATATGCTCTTGATCTATAAAGCAAAGAGATATGAGAATCTCAACATCTATTTATAAATTTCTTTTGTTATATAAATCCTCTGTGTCCGTAATATGTCGAAGGTCAAAGATTGTGTCTCTTACATTAAACATCCAGACGATAGATTTTCCACGAACTTTGCAACTACAATAAAATCAATTTATGCAATATACATGATATAAAAATAGAGTTTTTCTATTATAATATTTACACTTTTACAAAAAAAAAAAACATTTGGCTTCCATAAGTCTGCTCTCAGTTTATGGTCGGGGGAGGGAGGGGTGGGGGTGTGGGTGAGGGGTCTTTCCTTAACGTTTATATGTTTTTAAATGTAGTTACATTTTGTTTAAAATTTTTCAGGATTTCTGAGAATCAATAGAAGATGAACAGTTTGTGGTTCGTGTGTTTACTGGCCGCGGTTTTGCGAGGGGCATCCGTGCAAAAAGAGAATGTCCAGTCTTTCGACATTAAGGAGACCCAGAAACACACGGAACAGTTACACATCCTTAAAACAAACGCAGGGATCAACTATCAACCCTACGAACAGGCCTGGAAGGAATTCAAAATCCTTCATGGTAAGGCCATGTAATTCTAATTCTACGATGTACACGTGTAGGGATGGTTAAACATTTACTTGAGCGCAGAAAAAATTTGGTTTTTCTCATAACTAATATAAATCTTCCAATTTCATATTTCTTCATAAGACATATTGTGAACCAATGACAAGGAAAATCTGTTCTTGTAAAAGTTTATTTCGGTTTAATCAAAGTTATAATGAAAACAATTGGTGATCATACGAGGGGTGATCAAAAAATTCGCGAACTAATTGAATAACTTCCATAAAAGAAACAATATTTGGTTTTGATGTTGATTATCATTTAAATTAATCCTCCCCGATTTTAATGCACATCAACCACCGTTCTGCGCATGCGTGAATCACGTGATATTGGCGGTCACGTGACCTCCTCCGTAGAGTTCTGTTACAAAAGTTGAAAGATTTTTTCTGAGTTTTATATTTCTTTCCATTTGAGTAAATTTTCATGACAAGAACAGTTCATTTGTCAGAAATGGTCACATCTCGGCAACAAAATGGGTGGATAAGAATATCCTTTCCAAAAATAAGTATGGCAACCATTCAAACACAAATCTTCTGTCTCGGTAGAGACCTTTATTCAAGGTGGATAGAGAATCGGTGCCTCCTTTTTATCATATCTAATATGTTTAAAATCTAAAGTAAACGATATCTTAGGTATTTAATACTTAAATTGTTGTTCAAATATTCAACTATTTTTCAAAGTGTTAATTGGACGTCTTTGATAGCAAATTGCTGAATTAAAAATACATATCTTTTCAAACTTGCTTTCACTGGGCAAGATGACAAGTTTCATTTTTAACCATCTGCCATCCTTCACTTAAACGATCAATCCAATCATTAATTGAATTTATAGGAACTTATTTATCTCAATAAACTGTGTACAAATTATTATATGATACTACAGAGGGGTTTCTAAGATATACAATAAATTGTACAGTCGTTTGTTGAACGAGTTCGACTGAGACAAACATTTTTCGTCACAAGTGACCTACATAGTGACGTCATTTTCACATTGTGACGTCACAAACAAGAAGAAAAACTTTATTCAGCATATGCTATTTAAAGACCTTGTATATGGCTATATGTGTACCGAATTTCATTCTGATCTGAATTGTGGTTTTGTAGATATAGAGATAGTGCGCGAACTTTTTGATCACCCCTCGTACAGTGGTTGAAGACAATAATCGTAAAGTGGCTCGTGATCGTATAGTGTCTCTCTCTCCTAAAGCGTTGCTCCTGCTCCGAAGAGCACCGCTCCGCGATGTGCGGCCCAGATGAGAGCAAGAGCTAGAGCGCTTGGTAAAGTTAGACTGTCATTTTATAATGTACAATGCATAATATTCATTTACATATGAAACAAACAAATCAGATTCAGGTAAACAAGTTATACAATAAATTTGGACTAAATCCTGGAACTTTATAAAATAAATAATAATTTAAACTTGAGCTTTAGTTCAGTGTCCTGGTATTGTGCAGAAGTTAATAAAATGTTAAAGTAAGATTTAGCAATGTTCCGTTACTGTTCCTGTAATGGGATTGATGTCCCAAGATAGATAAACACCCTGGTAGGTTATACTGTCTTTAATCCGATTAAATCGTTTGTTTGCTTTTACGGAAACATTTTACACTTTCATATCCCTTTTGGATTATAGGTCAGTGCACTCTATCATAAGTACATTTTAATTAGCTTATTTATTTGATTAAAATGATTGTCTCAAACCCTATAAGTTTACAATATTCTTTAAAAAGCTTATATAAAGTAACAAAAAATCTTTATGTTTCTAAATGTGTTCAAGTTGGCTCTGTAACCATGATAAACAAGGATTAAATGTTTATACTTATAAACACTGTTTCTGATTATCGAGGTAAACAATAAATGTATTGTCTTCAAGAAACTTAATAATAATTTTCTCAGCATTTTATCTTAATTTTATTTTTTTCTGGAGGACAAAAGTCCTGCATAGTATTTTATCTTTCTTTTCAACACTGTTGACTTTTTATGTTTATGTTTGATATTAATAAAGAGAATCAGGGGTTGTAGCCATTTTCAGACTTTTTTGATCTCCTTTAGAAAAAGAGCTCCATATAAATATAAACAAAAATTATCAAATTTTAAATATAAAATGTATAATTATCTGTTGGTTAAATTTTTGACTCCAGTCTTCTTACTGTGACTTTTAATGACCCTTAATGATAATGAATGTGTTGGTATAAGACAGCGAATGTAAGCCTTTATGCACGTCACATGACGTAACATTTTATACTGCAGGTAAAACTTATAAGACTGGTAAAGAGGAAATCCATCGCTTTGAGATTTTCAGAAGAAATGTCCAGAAAATTGAGGAACACAACCGATTATACCATCAGGGGAAAACATCTTATTATATGGGTGTCAACCAGTTCACAGACCTGGTATGTCGTATGTATATTTACATGCACAATTACATGTATATTACTTCCTAAACCAAACAAAATAATGTAGTTAACAATACTTTACTATATTTAACAATAGTTAACTATAGATAGCTAAATTGAACACCTTGACACAATGAAAACCTTGATCTACTATACTGACAACTTTGATTTACTATAGTAAACACATTTACACTTAGATTTACTATAGTGATGACTTTGTCATTTTGTTTGACATGTACTTTAGTTTAATATAGTAATTTTGTTATGGTTGTGCCATTTGTTCATCTTTAACATATATTTCATTTGATTTATATATATTTTTTTTTTTGGAAAACAGGTATGTTTTAACAAGTTGAAAAATTGCGAATAATTGTACAGAGATTATGATATAAGGGGCATTTAAATGTGTAGATATTATTCATATCACAGGGGGAAGACCGCAATTAGTACAAGAATTCCACATTTTATATAGTGTATATGAAACATATATTCAAATCTCGTTATATCTACGGGATCAAGAAAACACTTTTGAATATCGGAGGGTTCGAGATATTGAAATTATAATGCTTAAAGGAAAAGTGTTTGAGATTTTTAAATTACTTTGAAAATATCCATGGTATTCGGGATATCCTTTTTTGAGATACGGAAACTCATCTGTACTTCATCTAGAATCACTGTAACTAGCAGTTGGATCCTATTTCCTTGTGAAGTAATTCTTAAGTGGTTCCCTAACAACTGACCACATTATAGGATATTAATTACGATAGGTTATCAAAAAGTCCGTGAACTATCTAAGAAACCACAAGTCAAATCACAATGAAAATTTGCAATTCTTCATATCCATGTTATATAAAAACATGGGTAATGAAATGTTTGCTCCATGTTTGTGACTTTACAATGTGAAATGAAGTCCATATTTAGATCACTTGTGACAAAACATGGTTGACTCAGTCGTACTTTAGCAAGAAAAAGTTGTTAAGTTAAACGTATATTTTTAAAATTCCTTTGCACCAGTTTATGTAACAGTAATTGATGATGTCAGCCGTTGATTTCAATTGCGAAAACAAATATTGTCATTGACTAAATATAACATCACACCATACAATGTGCAGGCGTAAATATTCAAGATTTCGGCAATCTATGAGATCAAGCATGGACACGTATAAGATACCTATGAACCGACCCGTTGCTTGAGATGATGATATTTACTTTGGATACTATTTAAAAGTCTCTGTAAGCATAATTTGGTTAACTTATCGTAAACCCAATTAAAATGATATCAGGGAACTTATTTTGATAATATTTTATAAGCAGCAAACTTGTTCGTAGTTAATGCAACAGACTGAAAATAAATCATCAAAAGTTTTGTTTTCCCTGGTACAGTGAAAACTGTCTAATCCGACACCTATGTGATCCGACACACTTTGAATTCTGACATTTTCTTTTATTCCCATTTTACTGTTTTCCATGTTTATTTGCATTGTGGAATCCGGCGCCCTCTCTATTCCGACACAAAATTTCTTCTCCCAGTGCATGTCGGATTAGACATTTATCCCTGGTACATTTTTTTCGTATGTACAAAAGATTAAGTTGCTAAAGATTTTGTACTCTACAAAATAGAATATTACATGCATTATTCCTAATATCTCATTATTTTGTACCATGGAAATGTGTGTCTTTCGGCCCCCGGCATAGTGAACTTGTCATTTGAGGAGAGGGTAAAATTTGGTGTGCATTTTTTTTTTTAGAAACTTGAAGAATTTGTGAAACGCAATGGTTTGAACAGAACCTCAGTGAAGTATAAAGGGTGCTCCGCACACCTTTCAGCCAATGATCTTGTGGCTCCAGAGTCTGTTGACTGGAGAAAAGAGGGTTACGTCACTGCTGTCAAAAATCAGGTAGGTGTTTTGCAAGTACTTTTTATCGCGAACTGACTCTTTAACATCAAATCACTAAAATAATATTTCGCGAGTAGGTGGCTGGTCGACAGAATTTACATGAATTTCAACTCATTAAAAATTAGAGTGATTAATATTATTTCGCTACTGATGATTCTCGCGAGATCACGCGTAATAGTAGGAATCTACAGTACTCAGTTCTACATGTTTTTGTCAAAAAGAAGCCTGTTTACAAAAGGGTTTATGATTCTTTGATTATATCACTTTCTCTTTTTTAGGGTAATTGCCTTTCCAGTTATAGTTTTAGCACAGTGAGTTTGAATTTAAGAACGTCATTTAAAGGATGCGCTTCTTTACTCAAGCAAATTTCAAAACATAACATCAGGCTTTACTAACTTCATTTAATAATTTAAAAAACATATTTTTCATAACAAATTATATTAAAAATATTATGTATTTCCTATCATCCTTTATGATCTCTTCAGATGATTATATCTATGTACATGTGACTTTATAGACAGGTGCCGTAGAAGGGCAGACCTTTCGTAAGACAGGTAAACTTGTTTCCCTCAGTGAACAACAGCTTGTGGATTGCTCTGGGCCATTTGGAAATAACGGCTGTCATGGTGGGCTGATGGACAATGCATTCAGATATATCAAATCTGTAGGGGGTATCCAAACTGAAAAGGATTATCCATACAAAGCAATGGTATTTAAACTTAACATATTCACTTACCAAACAGATAACGTCATGGGTCTTAAAATAAATGAGCTTTATCATTACCTTCATCAGCTGCATACAAAGTTTACATCTGTCAGTTGACGTTTTTACAATTTCTAAAACATGGTAAATTATTGCCAATCAAGTTGATGAAACAAGAATGTTACCAGCCTCGTTTAAAATCATAATGTTTTACTTCTTTGGACGATACAATGATCTGTAAGCAAAAATAATTTATCATTGAGTCGAATGCTGACTGACATTTTTCCTACCAATTGTTTGTCAGTTTTTTACACACTGCATTGACGACGGATTTCTCCATTATTTTCCGATCATAACAAAGGGTACACGAAGGGTGTGATTGCAGGGGTTGCCCACTTTTGAATGGCACCTGATCCCACCTTTGATGTTTTTGGAGGGCCGTGTTTGATTTGCTCCCATTTTGTATTTCTTCTAATTTACCCTTTCTCGTGTCGTTTATAGGAAACGGGATGTAAATTTGAACACGAAAATGTAGCTGCAACAGTCAGCGGATGTGTTGATCTAGAGAGTGAAAGTGAGGAAGACCTGAAGAAGGCTGTAGCCGAGGTTGGTCCTGTCTCAGTGGGAATAGACACCAGTCACTTTTCATTTCAGTTTTATGCAGGAGGTGAGATATACATGTACTTGTATTTTTACGTTTTATATGAGTTTTTTAAGAATGACGAGGCTAAGCATTTGAATTTTTATGAAAAAGGAAATTTATTCAATTTTTTCCATCTTTCTCTCAATGACATAAATTTTTGGTAAATTGATTATCAGTTTTTTATGTGATGTAAAAGAATAAAAAAAGTATGTGAGAAAGTATCATATATTTTTATTTGCCTTGTCTTCGTTTGCTGTAGGGGTGTATGATGAGCCAAACTGTAGCTCTGTTTGGATTGATCATGCAGTCTTAGCTGTAGGATACGGAAATCAGAAAGGAAAAGACTACTGGATTGTTAAAAACAGGTGAAAAGATTTGCCTTATGTTTGAAAGAGCTCTTTATTTTTCACATTTCATGCCTTTTTGGGAATTCATCAAATTCCTGAGAGAAATAAAGAAAGGATAACTCATGCTCATTTCCTGCTGCTGCCTGTTTTTACTATAAACCTGTACTTATTGTAGTTGGGGTACAGGATGGGGTATGGCTGGGTATGTCTTAATGTCAAGAAACAAAGACAACCAGTGTGGAATAGCTACAATGGCCAGCTATCCTCTTGTTTAGAAAACATGGTGAGTTGTTTCAGCCTAGTTTCTTGCGTAAGAAATTCTTATAGAATATTGACTTGGCCAATAATGGTGCATGTAAGAAAAGCAAATCAAGTTTTTTCCGTTTTAATTAGAAAAAAAATCTTATCGTTAAAGCATCTAGAAATTTGCTTTTACACAATATTTGAATATTTTCCCATCACATGCTCATGACTGTGCTTTCTATTTACAGGTATACAGATAACAGCATTCTAAACGACGAGAAATCCCACACGATAAATAAAAACCAACAAACAAAACACAAACATTTCTGAATGATACTATAATAAATCAAAGCCAAACAAAAATGGCAGATGTATTTCTCTATAATATTATGATAAATCAAATCCCAAAAAGGAGATACAGTTCTGTATTTTTAGTTTTTGTCATCTCCCTCGGGAGATGACACATTAAGATTGTATGCCGGAAGTGAAGTCCTAGTGTAAGCCTCCATTAATCTTTCGGGAGTCCTCGATGTTTTACAGAGTTCCAAGTAGCCTGTAAACTGGTTTTCTTTTAGAAGAACTAGCTTAGGAGTGTGTGATCTAATTTCGGTTTAGGCCTATTTGAAAGCCTAGGAAAATTTAGAAAAGAAGTACGATGCTTATAAATATCTATAGTTTCGGTGTGTCGTATATATACATGTATTGATCCTCAGTACTATGCCTTATTAAATGGGTAAGCCACACAAGGAGAATTGACAATGACGTGATTCCTATATATAGATTTGTTGACGGGAAGGGAAAACTGGTTCTCGCACAAAAAAACAAGCTTACAAGTAGATTCTGCAAAAAATGAATGGAGAGTGGTCAACGCTAATTTTATGTTAATTTTTTGGTCTGTAATTGGATTTATTAAATTAATTCCTGTCAAACTTTAATGATTAGCTGCTTTTAAATGAATGATAATTATTGCTGATAATTCCGTATTCTGTTAAGAAAATATAGTTCAAGGAAAGTATTTGAATTTAAGTAAATTGTAAACACCCAGAACCACAAAGACCGCTAGAATGAAATTTTACGAAAAATCGCCAAGGGTGCTCTCGCAGACGTCCATGCTTTCCATATATATACTGCGGCCAAAAGAAACTGCGTACTTTACTGAGGAGTTTGCTGAATAAGTCATTTGGGAACTTCAGGTGTAATAATCCATATATTCATTGCATTAAAATATCTCCCTTTCTGTTTTATTTCTTTGACATTATTGATACCAAAGAGATGACATTTCAGGCTTTCTGGAAAGCCAAACTTGTTTTAATATTGAGAACATTTACACATGTTATATATCTTTCAATAATAATACGTATACACGACTTAAACTGAAACTTTTTTATGTACTATCTATCTATATATGTACCATTGTTAATGACCGACGATGAGATTTTCTGAAAATTTCGTCTTGGGTGTGTACTAAGTATTTAGCGTAAAATGTATGACTTGATCTGGCAATGAGTCCAAGACGATCTATATGGAACTGTGATGAATGTAATTAATAAAATGCTTTCTTTGTTTGTTACTACAGGAAATTATATCTCTGTTGTTGAAGAAAAAATTACCCGCGGAAACATATTATGTAATTTTTTTTCTGCAATATTTGCGACGTTCTAAGAGAAATATTGATATTAAGCATAAGTGATTGTAATTATATACATGTATGCCTTTTAATAAAAGACATTATTAATAAAATTCATAGTTTTTTTTTTTTTAATTTTTTTTCAGAAACTTGCTTCTAATGAAAGTTGAGGATAGGAAAAAGTTTAACTCTCAATTTTTAACATGTACATATATATTGAATTTATCTGAAAATATGCGTGATCTGATTAATTTTTTTCTGACTTCAAATTCATTGAAACAGAAGTATGCATATTTTAAGAATAGGATTTTACTTGCATATTACAGCGAAACCTGTTTAATTCGACACCTGTATAATCTGTACACTGCTAAATCTAAGTTCAATATCGTTCCCATTTCCGTGTCTTTGTATACTGTCGTATCCGACATCATGTCTATTCCGATATAAAATGCATCTCCAAGTGCGTATCGGATAAAATATGCTTCACAGAAATATAATTTAGTGTGATTTTTAGAAAGAAAGATTTGCGAAGATTTTTTCCTCATTTTTTTTTTTTTTTTATAAAAGCCTATATCGCATATTGTGGCTCCTTCTACGCTTGTAGACATAATTAATCCAAAACAAACATGTAAATCTTTCAGGTACTTTATCTTAATTGTTTCTGGACAATTAGTTATACGAGTATGTATCAGTGAAATTTAAAGAGTTTATATTTAGGGGTCAAAAAATCAAAGTACTGGAAGTACTGGGAAGCGCTAAGCATACTTCAATTTGAAATTCATAAGATTTTATTTAATTTAAATTGTCTTTCGCATTAAATTTAAGCAATATCTTCAAAGTGCGGCTGCTTAATTCTAGCTCTTGAAAAAAAACAGGGGTAGACGATATTTCCCATTGAAATTGGACTCTCAAGCATCATTTTATTTTGAGAAAGCCTTAAATAGGATCATATGTTCCTATATAAGGATATGGAGATAACGAACAGTATTCAATCTTAAAGTCCATTAAACAATATACACTTATTTAATGACTATGAGGTAAATAGTCAAACAGTTGTCCCGAGGTAGTTGGTAAGACCTGAGGAACTGTTGCCCGAGGCCTTCGGCCGAGGGCAATAGTTTCTCAGGTCTTCCCCACTACCAATGGACAACAGTTTGAGTGTTTCACCGAGTAGTCATTGAATAAGTGTTTTGTTACCTAACCAACTATATAATTAATTAAATTGGAATAAAAACACACAAAAAATCAAATCGGAGTTTTAACAACTTTTTATTCACATGCTTGTTTATTAATTAGCTGAACATAATATAAGTATTAAATAATATTAATTATAATAATTTAAAGTAATACTTGATAAATTGATTGATTGATTGATTCTTTGTGTGTTTTATTTCAATTTCATTAATTATATTGCAGGAAAATAGTGGTGTCGTGATC